GGTGGAGAGACTGAAATAGAAAAGAAAGTAAGAGTTAGATGAAAATGTTGGCTACTCTGTAAATTTACCTAAGGACAGCTCCAGCTTTTAGCTTGTTTTGAAGACAGCTCTGCTTTCATTGAAAGTTGTAAAATGGCAACAGTAATGCGCATTTACATATTCTGCACTCTTGGTATAGAACCTTATCAAAAGCCTGGAGATTCTCTCACAATTGGTGGTGAGTGTAAATTGGTACAACCTTTCTAGAGGGCAATGCATTGATTTACCCATTTTACAAATGCAAATATATTCAAGCTTATTTGTTGTAGCATTGGTTTCAATATTAGTTGACTGGAAACAACCCAAATATACATCCATAGGGAACTATTTAAATAAATGATGGTGTATCCACACAATGAATTATCATGCCACTGTAAATAAGAATGAACCCTGGCAGAGTGGCTCGATTGGTTGGAGTGTCGTCCCGAACACAAGAAGGTTTAGGGTTCGATTCCTGGTCAGGGCACATACTTAGGTTTTGGGTTTGAGCCTGGGTCTGGGCACATAAGGGAGGCAACCACTGATGTTTCTCTTTCTCTCTCTTTCCCTTTCTCTCTAAAAATCAATAAAAACATTTTTTAAATAAAGAACTCTACAAGAATTAATGCAGAAAGATCTCCAAATCATACTGTTAAGTGAGAAAGCAAGCAAGAATAGTCTACTTAATATGCTACCTTTTGTCTAAAAAGAGGGAGTATAAAAATCTGTATTCACAATTGTTCAAAATTGCATAAAAATCCTCTAGAAGGATACACAAGGATCTAAGAACAATGGTTGCCTATGGTAGGGAGTGATGAGAGTGGGAACTCAGCAGATGGGAGACAAAAACGCAGGAGAGACTTTTTACTATGTGCTTTTTCGCAATCTTTAGTTTTCCAACCATGAAAATGTATTTTTGTTGTTGTTGTTAATCCTTACCTGAGGATATTTTTTCCGTTGATTTTTTTAGAGAGAGTAGAAGAGGGGGGGGAGAAAGAGAGAAAAACATGGATATGAAAGAGATACATCGATTGGTTGACTCCTGCATGAGTCCTGACCAGGCCAGATGAAACCTGCAGCCCAGGCCTGTGCCCTTGACCAGAATTGAACCCACGAACCTTCGGTGCGTGGGCAGACACTCTAACGACTGAGCAACACTGGCCAGGGCAGGAACATGTAGTTTTAAGCAAACACTTAGTCAGTACTTACAATGTGTCAGCCACTGTTGCAAGCCATTTAGAATTAGTAACTCCTTTATTATAATTCCTGTCTCTTAGATGCTTATATTTGAGTCTTCCAAAATAATGTGACCTCTCAGCACTTTGAATATCTAGAGTACTTTTACTTCTATTGAGATAAATCGTATTCTACATTTTGCTATAATCGTTGCATGTCTTTATTACGTAAAACAACCTAAATGATAACGCATATTAGATGTGTATATGAGTATACCACCTATTGCATAAACGTTATCTAGAACGATAATTACAGGTTACAAATTACTTCCTAAGAACTGGGAAAGGAAAGAAGAATGAGTGTCTCCTGAGGCTAAGAGGCAGGATTAACGCATGTACAGTGCGGCCTTTGGAAAGGGAGAGGCTACCAGCACTCCTCCGCACAAGCCCTTCCCTCTGCCTGCAGTCCTGCCCCCTTGGACCCCCGCAGGCCTGGGCCCAGGGTTAGGTCTTGCGGGGAGCCCTCTCTGACCTCCCTGCTGGGGCAAAGCCTCTGGCCCTCTTCCTAGAATTCACAGTATATTCAACTCTGGTGGTGTGGGTAGCGGCGCCCGCCTCCTTTCCAGAGCAGCTCAGGGGGGAGGGACTGTCACCCAGAGCCTGGCACAGTGCCTGGCACAGCGCGGGCTCTAGCACCTTTTTGAACGAATATAAAAAGGAAATGTTTCCTGGAGGAGGGGGAGAGTTGGGAAGCCTCAGAAGGAAACAAAGAGGCAAGATGGGCATCCGAGCGCCCTCGAAGGAAGAAAGCTGGACTCTAGTGACTTCTACAATCACGTTTCCCATTTATACTGTATACATACACATACATAAATATGCAAAGGTATATTTTCTGAAATTCTCCCCTTTCCTACCAATAATTATTACATTTTTACCGGTGAGCAAGATCTCTCTTTGCTTTTTTACTCATTTCTGTTTTCCCAGGAGTTTCTAATTTCCCTTAAATGGTTTCTCTGGACTTCCCAAGGTCCTACCCACCCCCTCAACTTTTCTAAGAAAAAGTGACTTTGAGTTCCCCATACGAAAATTGTCTCCTTTTCCCACAAAGAGTCGCGCGTACGTGTGGACTGTCCCACAGTAACAGGCGCGCTCCGGCTTCAGCGAGCCCCCTTCCAGCCGACGCCGGCTTCCTTCCCATTTTCCGTCCGCGCCGCAGCCCGGCGCCAAAGCCGCGGGCGGAGAGGGGGCCTTCCCGACGCTCCGCTTCCTCCCCGAGGGCTTTACTTGGGGCAGTGTTGGGGGCTTTTTAACATAAGGCTGCGGCACGACAGCTGCCCCTGGCCCCCGCGGCCCCGCAGTGCGGCGGGAGCTG